ATTGGGGGGGAGTAGAAGAGAAAGCAGTGGCAGCTTCTTGTTCCATAGGGTTAAGGAAGACTTTGAGGAAATAAAAGCTGTTTGGAAAAATCCAGGTATAGTTGCTTTGTATGCTGTGATGGGTAGGAGAGATGAAGAGAAGTGTGAAGACCCCTCACCCCCTCCATCTTGCCTCAGACTATGTCCTGGAACCCTGGGGCAGAGAAGGCACCACTTTCATTCCTGCTTCTTAGGATTGTTGACTGCCACATAGTGCTAGGGAACCACAAGCAAGAAAAGCAACACGCCCAGCATGTTGGCAAAGATGGCAAGCTGCACATCTGTGATCTTCCTGACCGGCTCCACTCGGCTCTGATGCTACCAGCACACAGGCTCAAGGTAAGAGAATCTCCTGGATTTTAAAAGCTTCACTTCCTACATCATTACTGCTCTGTCCGTGTCCGTCTCTCTCTCTCTCTCTCTCTCTGTGCAGTGGTATGACTGAATCCAGGGTTCCCATGGGCTATACACTGAGGAACAGTCACAGACCCCTACCAGCATCTTATCTTCACTCCATTCAAACCCCAAATCAATCAACTTCATCCATCTAACCTGGTCCTCTGGGTCTTATTTTCTTTGTGTGTGTGTGTGTGTGTGTGTGTGTGTGTGTGTACTCGTGCGTACAGGTGTAAGCTTGTGTGTGCCTCTCATTCTCATTCAATGTTGATACAAGAAATACTCATTCAGCACATGTGATGTGCTTTAGTTCAAGCTAGGTACTTACTGGGTATATAGTGTTGAACAGATACAATTTTCCAATCCTTGAGAACCTTCCAAGCTAGTGGGGAACATGGATAAGTGAACCACTAAATAATTAAACAAGTAACCCACTGCAATTATAGTAGCAGCATTAGTTTTCTAAAGACACAGGTTAAAAATCAGAGTAAACTTTGAATTACAACTAATCAATGTCTTGGAGTTTTCTTTCACTGTGACTTATAAATTCATCATAGGTGTGGTGGCACATGCCTACAATCTCAGAACTTGGTAGGTTGAGTCAGGAGTGCTGTGAGTTAATGGCCAGTCTGGGCTACAGTCTCAAAAAAGAACAAACTGCCACCACCAAAAATCTACTGCCACCAAATCACCAAATTTGCCACTTTAATTGCTTCAGCTTAATCAATGCTCTCCCATCTGACGTTCTGTTGCCCATTATCGAGCTTTATCTCACTCCCATAAGCATCAAGTACTGCTTCATCATACAAATGGGTATGAGGGTCTTCAATGCTTGCCTAATGCCTGCTGTGTAATTTTTTTTTTTCTTGGGATGCAGTGGATGAAACCTAGGACCATATACATATGCAACTGCTTTACCACTGAGCTACATTCCCAGCCCTATACAAAGTATCTGGTATCTGATAGCTCTCCTCTATTCATGCTTTGTCCTTCCCTGCTTCCTTAACTTTGAGCCTACCAGCCCAACTTTGTGTGAAAGGAGCATGCTTTTCCTACTCCAAATAAAATATGTTTATTCATCAAACTCCAGTTCCCCCAGAAACTCCTAGATCACTTCAGCTGATATGGCTGTTTATTCTGAACGCCTCAGGAAGTCTACCTAGCCCTCATTCACCACCAGATACCTAGATGTCCTTTGTTTCACAGGGCTCCTACTGGAATGTTACGCGCCCCAATGACAAAGTTACTTCAACCATATTTCCATTTCCAGTGATGCTTGGCACAAATGCTGTCTAGTTTGTCTGGGGGCCGGTGATTTCTATTCTCTGGCCAGGTCGCAAGCAGTTCTCATTACTCTCTGGTTCTTCTTGCTGAGCGCCCCATTTTGGACCTGTCTGGGAAGCTCCGGGAACGATACCAAGGGACTCAGGAAGGAAAAAAGTCACATTTGGTGAGGGCCACAGGGGTGAGGAGGTAAAGGCGCCAGGCGTGGCAAGCACTGACCTGCTCCAGCAAGCACTGACCTGCTCCAGCAGATAGATGAGCTGGTCTCGAGCCAGCCTTTTGAGCATGGAGAAGTCAGGCAGCTCAGGAGCGTCCAACCGATAGGGAAAAGCCATAGCAGCGGTCACAGGAGGATGTCCTCAGTTCTGGAAGGCCGGTGGCAGCCCAGGGTTAGCGCAGGCTAGGTTCCCCGCAGGGTCTTCACTCCTCCGCCGAAGCCGAGGGCGCGGGGTTCTCCTGGCAGGTTGCAGCCCCCGGCACCGCCCGGTCCTGTCGACCAGTCCGCAGGACCCGCCTCCAACCCATAGAGTAGCGAATTCCTAGACTTCCCGGAAGTTCCGTTCGCTCGACCTGCGCGAAGCATACTGGGAAAAGGACGGCGTCTGGAAGGGGATATTTGTAATCCGGCCCAGTCAACTTTTTGTCTCTGGAAACTTCTGTGTGGATGCCCGCGGGTCCCCGAGTTGTGAAGGGGTAAATTTGTTTTGTCTTTTTAAAAAGCCTGACGTGGCAGATCTCTGAGTTCAAGGCCAGCCTGGTCTACACAGTGAGTTCCAGGACAGCTGGGGCTACAGAGAGACCCTGACTCAAAAAGACATACATACATAAAATAAATAATAAATAAAAAGCCTGACGTGGTGGCGGTGCCTCTAATCCCTGCACCTGGAGGAGGAAAGGAGAATGAGGAGGTCAAGGCTACTCTGGGCAACATGAGACTTGTATCAAAAAACCAAAAGCTGGGGGCTGGAGAGATGGCTCAACCCTTAAGAACACTGTTCTTGCAGAAGACCCAGTTTCGAATCCCAGCACCCACATGGCAGCTAACAACTGTCCCTAACTCCAGTTCCAGGGGATCCGATAGCTTCTTCTGTCCTCCCGAGCACGACAAAGGTGCACTTACCTATGAGCAGGCAATACGCACATACACAAAATACATAAAAATAATAAAATAAGCCGGGCGTGGTGGCGCACGCCTTTAATCCCAGCACTTGGGAGGCAGAGGCAGGCGGATCTCTCTGAGTTCAAGGCCAGCCTGGTCTATATAGTGAGTTCCAGGACAGCTGGGGCTACAGGGAGACCCTGTCTCAAAAAGACCAAAAAATAAATAAATAATACATAAAAAAATTTTTTTTAAGGAGGAAAAGACAGTTCAGTGGATAGAGTGTGATGTGAGGACTGAGTTCTGGATCCCAGCACCCACACAGACACTGGGAGGCAGAGCAGCTCACTCCAGGTTCAGAGGACCCTGCCTCAGAAAATAAAGGTGGAGAACGAAGACCAGACCTCAACCCCTGAACTCCACACTCACACTACACACACACACACACACACACACACACACGCACGCAAGCATGAACTTATCTTGGACAAATGACCTAGCTTTTAAGAATAAAGAGCAAGAGGGAAAATGTGGAACTTGAAACCATTTTAGAGTAAGATTTAAGGGATAAGAGACTTAAGGAACATACCAATAAAAATGTAGTATTACAGGATATGAATCCTGTTTGGAAACAAATTCAAATAAACGGAAAGTCACTTATCAAACAGACCACTAGCCATATAGTATTCCATATAGTATTATGGCTGGCTAGAGGACCTGGGTTCAGTCTTCAGCACCGTTTAAAAATAGAAAACAAGCCTTTAATCCCAGCACTTGGGAGGCAGAGGCAGGTGGATCTCTGAGTTCAAGGCCAGTCTGGTCTACATAGTGAGTTCCAGGTCAATTGTAGCTACAGGGAGACTTTGTCTCAAAGACTAAAAGAGGATAATGTGCCCAGTTCGGGAGACCCCAAAGACCACCAAGGAGCCAACTGATGCAAATACATAAGGGTTCTTTTTTTGTTACAAGCTTAAGCTTGGGCCCACTCTGTCACCCACCTAGCGGATCTCAGAAGTGAGACCCCTTTGAGCGGATCTCAGAAGTGAGACCCCTTGCTTTGGGAGACAGGGGTTTTATAGGTTTATTTCAGCAAGTTCAGCAAGTAGGGGAGTAGGAGTTCTTCAGCCTGGCAACCAGTTCTTCAGACTGGTTGCAGCTCAGTGCCAAACCATAAACTGCTGGCTTCAGGAAATCTGAAAAGACATTTGGACTTTTAGTACTTTCCTGTCCCTGGTTAATTGACCATTGGCGGAGGAGTTGTTCTCTATCCGTTCCAAGCATTGTGGTTTTCTTGGAACAGGGCCCAGGGCTAGGTCAGTCCTATGGAGGTTTTATCCAAGATGGAGTCACTTGGGTCTCTCAATAAAAGGCAAGGCATTCCACCACCATAGATTGGTTTATTGTATGAAGTCCCCAGTCATTTCTTCACTGAACCAGTACCGAGCTCCAATAGTACTTGGGGCTGCAGTAAATAGGTCTCTTTCCTTCATGCAGTCTCCCTTTAAAAACGGGATGGGGTGGGGGATGGGTGGCGTGAATTTCAAGCATTGGAGAAAATGAAGGTATGGTAGCAATGTGAAGAAAGCTGCATTAGACTGGATGACTTGGTAAAGCCTTGCTAGGAAAATGGCACCTGAAATCTTAAGAGTTTCAAGCCAGCCTGTGCTAGGGAGACTGTCTCAAAAACAAAAACCCCAGTAATCAATATTGTTGTGGGGTCTCTCCCTTCCCTCGTGGGTCATTGGCCACCGGTCCAAGAGGACAAAGGGAGAAGCGACGAACGGGGTCAGGACGGCCAGTGAGTACTGACGGAAGAAAGCCCTTCTGGGGAGGCAGGTTCAGTGATACAAACACCTCCAGCCTCAGTGAAACAGCTCCATTTATTCAGTGGGGTTAGGGAAAATATAGTGCAGAGGCAGTAGCCAATGCTTCAGCTGATAGGTGCTCATAGTATGCTTTATTTACATGTGGCAGTAGGCTCCTATCATCCATATCGGGAAATGCCTAATTATCATATAGAAAAAAACCTGGGGGTAGTTTTTACTCCAGGTAACTATGCCAAAGGTCATGTTCCAAATAAGGTCAGGCATCTGTTGCTTGGCGGCACGTTCCAGGTAAGCCTGGCAGAGAGCAAGAGGCCCCTGCTGAGAAGGGGAGTCCTTCCATATAGCGTGAGCCCCTTAGAGCTATTGTTCCAGGTAAGCCTGGCAGAGAGCAAGAGGCCCCTGCTGAGAAGGGGAGTCCTTCCATATAGCGTGAGCCCCTTAGAGCTATCCGGACATGGAGGACTACAACCCTAGCAGCAGGGTTCCCCAACATATTGTAACTATTATTAATGACATTTGAAATATCCAGATTCTAATATATAGTGCCTACACAGCGTGGGGGTGCACAATTTGGGGCAGCAAAATGTTAAAGAGACATAGGTGAAAACTGTTACTGGACTCTTACATGTTTTTTTTTTACAAGTAGAATATTTTGGTATAGCTTCTAAAACAGTCAGTAAATTAACAGGAATTACCACATAGCCCAGTACTCCTGGAATTTCAGGTGCCCTGGATTAATAGAGGTTTGACTTCCAGTCCCAGAACTGCCACTTAGCAGCAGCCATCTTAGGGTCTGTTCATTTGTAAAAGAGCTGATCATCTGTTCTTGCATACTCTTGGCATCTTTATAAAACTCTATCAACTACTATCAAATATAGTTTAACTTTAGAATGTGGTTTTGGATTATGTTAGGGGCTCTAAAGCCTTTGAATGCTTTCTACTTTTCAAACTCAAACTCCCAAATCTTCAGAACCCCAGTAACTCAAAGAGAAAGATAACCAATTTGTTGATACCTGCTGGGCTCAACAGGTAAAGACACTTGCTGCCAAGGCTGACAACCTGAGTTCCTTTCCTGGGACCCACATGGTAAAAGGAAAAGAACTCACTGCTACAAGTTGTCTTTTGACCTCCACATATGCACCAAGATACATGTGTGCATACATACACAAAATGTAATTTTACATTTTGTGGTGGCGCACGCCTTTCATCCCAGCACTGGGAAGGCAGAAGCAGAAGGATCTCTGTGACTTCGAGGCCAGCCCGGTCTACATAGTGAGTTCCAGGCCAGCTTGGGGCTACAGGAAGACCCTGTCTCAAAAAGACCCACGCCCCCCAAAAAAACCTATCACTGAACAGAGTGCTCTGCACAGAGCGCCACCCTCCCTCCTTCTGAGGTAGGATTCCTCTTTCCATCTCTCTGACAAGGAATACTCTTTTCCACTTTTTCCATTCCATCTCTCTCCAGAGTTTTAGGTAAATCTTTCTACCCCAAAGAGCACAAAGTGAGAGACTGCTATATTTTACTTTATTTTGCACATAAGGAAAACCAATTGAGTAAGCAGCTTACAAACTGTTGGGTGTTTAGTGATCAAGAAGGAAATGAGGAAATTTTCATTTCCCAAACACAGTTATCACAGAAACTAGTAACACAACACATATAACAATGGTTTTCAACTGAGAGCCCTAGTAACAAGGATCACCACAAGGGTCAGATGGGGAACAGTCCAGGAAGCTTGAATTTATCCAAGTAGCTCTTCTGCCCACATTCCAGGCTCAACACTTCTAATTCTGAAGTGGCTAATCCATGTGCAGAAATCTTGGTAAGTTTCAATACATTTGCCCAGCTACTCATAGAACATCTCCACAAGCCAGGCCTAGGCTCAAATTCTGTACAGGAAGTTCCCATTGCTGTCCAAGAACTCTTGCCCCCTCTGTACTACTTTGTTGCTAAAGTTCTGGTCATCTTGTTCCCCTGCCTTCAAATCTTCCAGCTTCTCAACATATGGCAACCTATCATTGTTAGTTCTTCTGGTGGCCTCAGAATCATTGGTGGAACATTTCTGGAGCTCTCTCTGAGGACCCAGGGCTGCAGCAGCAGGCACCAAGCTCTCTGTCCGGCCTTGGATTCCTTGATTCTTTCCCTTTTGTCTCTTCTGTGCATTTGTACTGGGAGTATTTGACTCTACCACTTTCAAAACTTTGTTCTGATTTTGACTTTTAGATGAGGCTTCATCCCCTGGCATCAGCAAAGGGCCAGATAGAGAGTAGCCTGCAGTGAGTGGCTTCAAGGAATCTCCAGAGCCCTGAAGCTGCCTGACCACTTGGGTAAGCCCAGCCTTTTTAAGGACCTTCTGATCCTGCTTCAGTTTCTGTTCCAAAGTGGGTACAAACTTACTTTTTAAAACTCTTCGGATAACATCGGTGCTGACATCAAAGCCTTCTGCCAATCTGGGAACAGACCAGGACTCTGCTAACTCCTTATGTAAATACCTATGGGGAAAAGGAGCAGGTTTTCAAATTGCAAATAACTCTACGAGAATAGCTAATTGATAATAATATAGAATGTAATACTGGGGCTGGAGAGATGGCTCAGCAGTTAAGAACACTGGTTGTTCTTGCAGAAGACCCGGGTTCGAATCCCATCACCCACTTGTTCTTGCAGAAGACCCGGGTTCGAATCCCAGCACCCACATGCCAGCAAACAACTGTCCCTAACTCCAGTTCCAGGGGATCCGACAGCTTCTTCTGACCTCTGAGGACATTGCAGGACACGGGGACACTTACCTATACACAGGCAAAACATGCATACACATAAAATAATTTTAAAAATTATTTTTAAAAATATAGAATGTAATGGAAAAAAAATTGAGAAAAAAAAATCCAAGGATTTTAATCCCCCTCTTTCTCTGTCTATTTTGGCAAAAATGCAAAGGTTACTTCCCTCTGGTGTCCAAACTTTGAGACCTGAGTCTGGACCAGCTGCAGCCTAAATAAAACCTGCTTCCTCAACACTCTTGCCTCATCTCTCCCGCTACAGTAACACTAGTGACAAAGAGAACGGTTGGAAAGACTGCAAATGTTAATTGTGTTCTGTACCTGTGTACCCATAGCAATACCCGATCACTCTTAGGCCACTTCCCATTAGCCAACAGCCTTCCAGTGCTGACTAATGACAGCCCTGTTAGGTCCTGATAATGCTTGACCAACCTTCACTTCTAAAATTACACAGGTTTATAGTAAATGTACCATAAAAGTAATACTTAAGTGTTACAGTAGAGGATACAGTTTGAGTACCCAAGGGGAGACCCAAGACAAACAATCATAAAACTTGCAGGCCAACCAAGGAATTGCCTGACAAAGTCCAAGCTAGAGGTGATCTGAAAGGATAAGGAGTCATAAGCTGAAAAAAAAGAACAACAACAAAAAAACAGGACAAATCAAAGATATACTGATCAGAGAGCAAGGAGCATGTGAAACACATAACTTTACATCAAGGAACAGTTTGAGTGACAGTGAGACTAGGAGCAAGATCGTGTCATGTAGGAGTCTGGAGTTCATCCCAAGGCAAAAGCAAGCCAAAGGACCATAAACAAACAGTGGCATGCCATGGATAAACTTTCATTCTGAAGCTCAATTCATTGATAGTCCCTTTTTTTTTTTTTTTGGTCTTTTTGAGACAGGGTCTCCCTGTAGCCCCAGCTGGCCTGGAACTCACTATGTAGACCAGGCTGGCCTTGAACTCACAGAGATCTGCCTGCCTCTGCCTCCCAAGTGCTGGGATTAGAGGTGTGCACCATCACGCCTGGCTCCTAGTCCCTTTTTTTAAAGTAGCAAGGTCAAGATTCGGGATTTTAGCTGGTTAAGACTGATAGGGAAAATAGAACGGAATTAAGTTGTCAAGAACAGTGAAGCTGGATATGGTGGCTCATGCCAGTAAGACCCAGCACTCAGGAGGATGAGGCAGGAAGACTGACCCAAGATCAAGGTTAGCCTGGGCTACATGGTGAGTTCTAGGCCACCCTGGGCTAGAAAACCCTGCCTCAAAAACAAAACACTGATGAATTATTTTAAGGAACCTCTGTGATGCTGGTGTCAACAAGAGAATTACAAGAAAGTAGTTTACAAAAAAAAAAGAAAAAAGAAAGTAGTTTACAAGGTCAAGTGCCAAGGAAATATTGAGGAAACTAAGGACGAGTGCCAGTCAGGCAAATTCTTAAAATCTCAAGTGTTATGGAGGAAAAGGAGAATCATTCAAAGTTCAAGACTAGCCACTTCAAGATTGAGGCCAGCATGGACGACATTAAATCTGGCCTCAAAAAGGCAAAAAAGCATGCCTTTAGTCCCAACACTTGGGAGGCAGAGGCAGGCAGATCTTCAGCCTGGTCTCCATAGAGTTCCAAGGTAGGGTCTCAAAAATAGAGCCAAAAGAAAAGTCCCGTGTGGTGGTGCAGAAGCAGGCTAAGCTAACGGCCTTCCACCTCAGGCACCTGCCTGTTCCTGCCTCCCATGTCACCACTGCTGGAATTACAAGCAGGCCCTGTGTCAGGCTTTTTCCATGGGTAATAGGATCCAAACTCAGGAATTTACACTTCAGCAAGCACTTGATCAGTTGAGCTGTCTCCCCAGTCCTTAAAAAAAGCAGCAGCAATTTTTCTGAGAGGGGGGTAAAGGAGGGGGCCTGAGACATGGTTTCCCTGTAGCCCTGGCTGGCCTGGAACTGGTTATGGAGACCAGGTTGGAGATCTGCCTGCCTCTGCTTCAAGAGGGCTAATATTTACAAAAAGCAACTTTAATACTTGAAAGAAAAAAAAAAAAAGAAAAAGAAAAAAAGACCCCTTGTAGGCATTTAGTGCTCACAAATGTAAAATCCAAGCACTCAGAAGGTAGAGGCAGGTGGATTTGTGAGGCCAGCCTGGTCTACATAGGGAGTTCCAGGCCAGCCAGAGCTACATAGTGAGACCATGTTTCTTCCATTCATAAATAAATAAATAAAAAATAACAAAAACCGCACAGCAGAGGCAGTACTGGAGTTCAGTCGGTTCTTGGCTACAGTGATTGGACGTCACACTGAGCTGCATGAGACCCAGTGTCTCAAAAATAGAAAAAAAGTGCCTTCAGAAATTTCCTAAGTTACGGTTCTCTTCAGAAAAATGCACATAACTGCGTAAAATTCCATTTCAGGAGCCCAGATTGAGAATATCATTCATGATCTATTCACAGGTTAAGTGTCTGGACGTCTACATTTCATATTAATTTTTCTTTGCAAATACAAACGAACCTGGCCGGCGTGGTGGTGCACGCCTTTAATCCCAGCACTTGGGAGGCAGAGAGCGGGTAGATCTCTGTGAGCTTGAGGCTAGCCTGGTCTACACAGTGAGTTCCAGGCCAGCTGGGGCTACAGGGAGACCCTGTCTCAAAAAGACAAAAAGCAAAACAAACAAAAAACCACGAACTAATTATGCATAACGGTAACCTCTTAAATCCGATCTGGGGCTGTAGCTCAGAGCTAAGTGGTCTTGCTCCGCGTGGGCGAGGCCACCGGTTGATTCCAGAGCCGCAAATAAATAAATCTAGGCGATAAGTTTAGGAAGTTCGTGGTGGCGTTTTCTGTTTAAAAAGAGGGAATATAAAAATCCTCAAAACGTCCATTTTGTAAACAATGTCTTACCGGATCTGCTCCATGGCTTCCCGTGTTAGGGTTCTGGGCGGGGCACCTGGCGCCTCCATTTGCCTTCGAATTTTCTGGAATCGGATTGCTTTTTTCTGTCTTTTCAGAGTGCTGGGGAAAAGAACCAATGGCACAAGCCATGCGTGGAAGCAAAGTGGGTGTTTGACGAGTCTCGGACTAAATCACGGAGAGCCCAGCCCTCTAGCCCGCAAAGGCCACCGGGCCACGTCTGCCTGCTTAAAGCTGTCTATACACCACCCCGGAAACCTAACATCTAGAACTGTAACTGCCGGTTAGCAGGCCGAGTCTACACAGGAGATGAAATGCGTCACTAGCGAAAGGACCTGCGATCCCAGGGGCGCGCAGCATTGGCCCTGCACCCCCGACAACGCGGGAGGAGAAACTAGAGCCTCTTCGCATGCACGCGGGGGGCCAGCGAGCCCGGCGCTGAGAGGCGCGGCCGGGACGCCGGGGCGCAGAACTCTGCTTTAGGCTGAGGGCCATCCCAGGAGCCGGTACCTCTCCACCTCCTGCAGCTCACGCTCCTCAGGCTCCCAGTCGGAATCGGGGTCGGGCTCGCGGCCGACGGGTCCCAGGCCCGCCACCCCCTGAGTCGCGAAGCCGCTGCAGCGAGCGACAGCGGTGCGGACACGGCCTCCAAACAAGAAGCTCTGGGCTACCGCCATGGTGACGCACAACAGCCTTACACAGCAACCTCCGATACAGCACCGGAAGCGGGAGAGCACGTGCGGAAGCGGAAGGGGAGGACCGTTAGTTGGGCGTGTCCCGCGCCGCCTTCTTACCAGATGGGCGGGGCTATCATTTTAGCCCTGTCCAGGTGCGGATCCTTTCCTGCAGTTACTGATTTGTATTGTGGTGCTGGGGGCCCAAGCAAGGGCTCCGCGCACGCTAGTCAGGCTTCACTGAGCCCAGCCCTTAAAAAAATTTTTTGAGAGTCTGAGTTGTCAGAGCCAAGTCTTGAACTCCTAATCCTCCTCCCTCAGGTTCCGGAGTAGCTGGGATTACAGGTCTAAGCCATCAAGCCGGGCTTTCCCGCAGTAACTATGAGAAGAGCTTGCCTTAGATGCGGGTGTGGAAAGGTGGTACAGGACGCGCCTGGAAAACGACATAAACTTTAATAAAAAGACGGATTCAATTGCTGAGAGCCGCCCTTCTGGCACAAGCTACCCTGGCCTGCCCGATTCTGCCACTGTAGTAGGAAGGGTGGACCCTCAGCAGTCTTCTGAGGGCGACACCACCATGCCTTGGGCTTTGGCTCCACTGGGTAAAGGATTCCTTGTCGCCCAGGAACCTCCAGCCCCAGGCCACACCCAGGGTTCAGACCCACCCCTTCAATAAACCCAGCCTAAGCCTTGATGAAGCAGATGCGTACATGCTGGCCTTAACTCTTCATCTTTTAGTCTTTACTGATCCGCAAACAATCCTAGAGTGTTGAAGAATTCTCGATGTTTTCGTTTTTTGCCTTTAGCAACATGGTTTCTGGTCAGTGTTTTTAACTGGAACTTGATGGCAGTCTTTCACTGAGCAAAAATTGAAGGCCATTTGCTCTTTTGGATGAGTACTGGGCTTCCCTTCTCCTTTTACCTGTGCTGGATGATGTTGAGGAGCAAGCTGGAATGCTGCAGCACCGGTGCAGAAGCAGGGCATAGGGTGAGATCCCCAGCCTTGGCTGCTCCGTCAGAGTTTACCATGGAGGGCAAGGTGCAGCATTCAGTCCATGAGTCACTTTCCTGTCTTTCGGGCTGCAGAAGATTAGTCCTGCTTTGGGGTTACAGTGTGTGGCACTGATCCTGACAGGGCTTGGTTTATGGGGTCTAGCCTTCTGCTGGCTTGGCCTTCTGCAATAGAAACATGGATCCCCACTAAGTTGGTACTCACAGAAGAGGTATGTTCACCTCTTTCCCAGCTATGGTCCAATTACACAGAAGAATGACATCCCATGCTTCCCTCCAGCATCTTTACCACATTGTATTTTAATTAGTCTGTTTACATGTCCATTTCCCTCTTAACCTTTGTTGAGGCCAGGGACTACTACTGCCTTGTCTATCATCAGGGCCAGTAGATAAAAGGAAGTAAATAAATGGGTCCATTGCCTTCACCCATTCCTATCCTGTTAGGAGTGCCACTTTATATTTTGGGAGCATCCCAGCTGTAATATTTGCTACTGGGAATTTACACCAGTCAAAGTGACCAAAGCTAGTTTTGTATACTACGGCGACTGGTGAGCCTGACTCTAGAGCTGGAAAAATAGTGCCTCCAAGATTTCTTCCAAGAGGCTAATGGCTGCTGGATCACTTATCTGGTTGGAGTTCTTAGGCTGCAGATAGCACCTGGAATTTTGTGCAATTGCGGCATTCATGCTTGATAGTGGCCCTAAGATCCTGGGGATCAATTCATGGGGCTGAAGTGGTTGCAAGAAATGAGGAGGGACCTGCTCTGAGGCAGCCCCTCTCAGGAACACCAATGGGACCAGATTCACAGGTTGCAGTTCTTGACTGCCCAGCCTATCCTGGTGAAATCTAGGCTAGAGAAGATCAGCCCCTTATATTTCTTGGGAGGCTGGATGGAGTGTTGGAAGAAATATGTAACTAAAAAAAACAAACAAACCAATCTCTTCTAGGCCATAGCCACTGTTTAACTAGTTATTCCTTTGGGGTTCAACAAAAACAGAGGGCCCAACAGGTTTGCTACTAGCACAGGGAATAGTAAAAACAGCAGCTGTTTTGTTGGCCCAAGACTGTTTACTTAGCTCCCATTAGAGCCAGGGAACTGGCAATGCTAGGGAGATTACACTGAAGCCACTGAGCATGGTGGTGGCCTTGTTATTTGTCAGTCATGAGTTTGGGGTTACTGTGAAACAGGAATAAGAGAGCAATTCTCTTGTAATCGAGAAAGTTGGGAGCTGCACTTTGCTGAATGTCAATACCCAAAACAAGGGATCCTAGGAACAGATGTCATGGAACCAACAGACCCTCTCCCAAGGCCCAGCATACTTGGCTTTCCCATACTCCAATGACAGACACCATCACATAAACCTCCTTTGGTGTAACCACCACCATGTGCTGGTATCACAGCCCTTGTTCCCTGGCTTTGTGAGAGGCTTCGCATGGACCCTCACCCGATACTCATGAAGTTTTCTATAGCCCTGGTGGCTGGGGTACAGCATATGAGTGAGCTGCTCTACAATACCCAGGCTTCGGATGAGATTCTCCCTTTGTAACAGGAGCTTCATCCGCTCGAGCTCCTCTTCTTCCACAATGTCTTGAGGCTGCATGGTGTCCAGGTGTACTGGTAGCAGCTACAAGGTACAAGATAGATAGATACAGGAATGTCCAAATGAGTTTCACACCATCAGCAAGGATGTCATAGGACCTCTGCCCCACTCTACCTTCTTCCCTTCCCAGACCCCACTGCAACGTTCCCTTTGCTGTCCATTCTCTTACCTTCTGTTCAAAAAGGTCAGATTCAATTTACTAGTTAGGGACTCATCTCTCTCAAGCAAGGAGAAGAGAGGACAGCAGGGATTCCTTTCTCTAGTAGTCCCAACTTGTTTTTTCTGCAAAGAGATAAGAGCCACAGCCCCTGACACCTCTTTCTCCCGGTTCTGGTTCCTGTAAGCCAAGTGGGTGGAAAGGCTCCATGTCCCTGCTCTGGATCGGCTCTTCTCCCCAGCTGATTGTCCCTGGTTCTGGTCCTTGTTTTCCTTTCGCTTCTTGGTGCCTAGGTTCTCCTGTTGTTCCTGCTTTAGTCGAATCTCTTCCAGTTGCTGCCTGAAAAGACACAGCAGTCTTAACCACTGGAGAGACTGTGGGAAGAAGGCGGGTGAGGGAAGATGGGAATGGGCTGGTAAAAGGAAGTCATGATCTGTTGGGATTGATGAGAGGAATGAAAGAGAAGATAGGAAATACACTAAAAAGTAAGAATCTGTTAAAGAGCTGGGGTGCTAGATCAGGTAGCATGAGGACCTGAGGATCTGAGTTCAAGCCCCAGAACCCATGTGTTAAAAAAAAAACAACAAAAAAAACCTGGGTATGTTGGTACATGCTTGTAATCCCAGCACTGGGGAGGCCAAGACAGGCGATCCCAGGGGCTTTCACTGGCCAGCTAGTCTAGTTGGTGAGCTCCAGGCCAATGAGAGACTCCGGTTCAAAAAAACAAGATGTCTCAGCAAGTAAAGACTCTTACCACCAAGCTTGACCACCAGAGTTCAGTCCCTGGGACACACATGACAAAAGCAGAAAAATGAATCCTGAAAATTGTCCTCTCTCTCACATACACACACACACACACACACACACGCACACACACACATATGATGGCACATGCACATATATATGCATACAAATAGATAAATGTAATTGTAAATATGAAAAAACAGTGAATGATTGACAACACTGAAGGTTGTTCTCTGGGCTCCACATGCATGTGTACATCACCCATGGGAGATAAAATGTACACATACAACACACATACAAGAAGAGCCTGTTAGAATTTTGGCTCTCTTTCTCTTTCCTCAAGCGTGTGACCTCCTCTTCCCTGCTAGGGAGCAATTCAGCTTCAGGTTTGCCCCTAACCCACCTGTACAGAGGAAAATGCAGCCAAGGTACCTGGCACACTCCTCTCTGGCCTTGGAGGCAGCAGTCTCCTGGAAGAGGGAGCCATTATGTTTGAAGAAGGGCGAATACTTCTCCAAGTCAGGCCCTGGGTAGATCCTCCGATATCCCCCTAAGTGGGAATCTTCGTATCGTTCCTGGTCCTGCATGGCTGCCTGGGATGACTCAGTTTGTTCTCGCCTAGGGAAGCCAAGCTCAGGTGAGTCAGAAGAAGGCTGAGAGTGTGTTCAGGAGGGAAAAGAAGGCTGGCTAAGGCTTTCAGAAGCTCATATTGGCTGGCTGGCCTCCCAGAACCCTGCCTGTGTAGGGAAGCATCCAAGCTCATGGCCAGCCCCCAATGTAATGTAACCATGATATTAGGATGGCTTCCAGAAATCTGATTTTCATTCATCTTAAGTGCAAAGCAGTCCACTCATAAGCAAGCACCACCACCCAAATTACCACCATCTTTTGGATTCTTAATTATAAGAGTAATACATGTTCACTACTGAACATTTAAAAGAGAAAAAAGATTAAGCCAGATGTGGTACTGTAGTAGACTTGTAATCCTAACACTAGGGAGACAGAGGCAAGGAGGATTAAGAGTTTAAATCCAGCCTCAACTCCATAGTAAGTTTGAGGCCAGTTCAAGCCTTCAAAAAACCAAGGACAGGGGGGCTGGAGAGATGACTCAGATGTTAAGAGCACTTGCTGCTCTTGCAGAGGACCCACCCAGGTTCGAATCCCCACACCCACATGGTGGCTAACAACTGTCGGTAACTCCAGTTCCAGGGAATCTAACACCCTCTTCTGATTTCCGTGGGCATTGCATGACACAGGTGCATTTACATACGTGCAGATAATATTCTCATCCACATAAAATAATGAAATGGTTTTTAAAAACTCCCAAACCAAGGAAAGGATATATCAAAGTGGTAGAACTTGCTTAGCATGTGCAAGGCTCACAGCTCATTCCCAGAACTGTAAAAAAGAAAAATTAAAACCTCTAATTTTTTTTATATGTTTGGGGTTTTTTTGTTTGTTTGTTTGTTTGAGAAAAGATCTTGCTTTGTAGCTCAGGCTGGCCTTGAATTCATGATCCTCCTGCTTCCACCTCCTGAGTGCTGGGATTATAAACCTATACCCTGACACCTAGCTTCCTTTGTTTCTTAGTAGTTTCCACACATTTTCCCCAATGAAAGATATGATTCATTCAGATGTACTGTCCAATCTCATGGGAATATTCAGGATGTTTATAGTTAACCCTTACTCCTATTCATCACACAAACTTTTGAGTTCCTGCTGTATCTCAGGACCTAAGGCTACCATGAGGAATCAAGTACACTTTACCTCTACATATCACAATGCAAGTAGAGAAAATCAATGTTATTATACATTGTAATAATATATAGGATTGAATTCAATTCAGTCCTATATATTATTAAGGGAAATTGTAATTTCAGTATCAGCATCCAGTGGTCATGTTTGTAACCTATTTTATAGTGAAACAATGGGTGGTCAACAGTAATTCAAACGATATCCTAATAAACAGCTAAACTGTTTTTTATGTATCATTATTAAAAAGATTTTCAGGAATTGGTTTCTAGATGACCTTTGTCATCTAGAAACAACCCCCCGCCAAGGCTCAGGGACTACTGAGAAGAGGGAGTGAAAAGATTGTAAGAACCAGAAGTCAGGGAGGAACAGAGTGAAACTGTGCCTTCAGCATATGACAGAACCACTGCACTCAGGAACTCACAGCAGTTGTTGCCTGTATGAGACCTGCACAAGATCAATCCAGCTAACACTCCAGTGTGGAGGGGGGAAGAGGCTTTACAAGCTCCTGCCCCAGTTGAGGAACTGTTGACACCTGATGGCTTCTGGGAAAAGGAGAATCAATGGTGTGGCCCATGGTAGGTAGACTGTATTCCAGTGGATGGTCCCATACCCATGAGTATATGGGCAGCACAAACTGGACTCAGCAGAAATGGTGGTACACTCCTTTAATCTCAGCACTTGGAGGCAGAGGCAGGCAGATCTCTGTGAGTTTGAGGCCAGCCTGGTCTACCTAGTGAGTTCCAGGCCAGCTGGGTCTACAGGGAGTCTCAAAAAGACCAAAAAAAAATTATTTTTTATTTTTTATTTTATGTGTATGAGTGTATTACCTGCATGTAGGTAAGTGTACCCATGTCATGCAATGCCCTCAGAGGACAGAAGAGGCCATCAGATCCCCTAAAACTGGAGTTACGGACAGTTATTAACTGCCATGTGAGTGCTGGGATTCAATCCTGGTTCTTCTGCAAGAACAACCAGTGTTCTTAACTGCTGAGCCATTTCTCCAGCCCCAAATACATATATACTTTTAAATGCTTGTGCAACTATAACAGTAGTAATGTCGGTTGACTCCAAGGAGAAAAACATTAGCTGGAGAGGGGCAAGAAAAAAGTCATTCAATGTACTTTAAAAAAAAATCTCGCTGGGCGTGGTGGCACACGCCTTTAATCCCAGCACTTGGGAGACAGAGGCAGGCAGATCTCTGTGAATTCAAGGCCAGCCTGGTCTACATAGTGAGTTCCAGGACAGCTGAGGCTACAGGGAGACCCTGTCTCAAAAAAGACCAAAAAAAATCTCTACAGGGGCTGGAGAGATGGCTCAGTGGTTAAGAGCACTGACTGCTCTTGCAGAGGATTTTAAAAAATTTGGATAGATCGGGGCTGGAGAGATAGCTCAGCAGTTAAGAGCACTGACTGCTCTTGCGGAGGACCTGGGTTCAGTTCCCAGTACCCATATGGTGGCTAACAACTGTCTGTAACTCCAGTCAGGGGATCCCATATTTTCTTCTGATCTCTTCAGGCATTGCACAACATGGATGCATGTATATATATGCAGGCAATACATTCATACACATAAAAATAAAAAATATATTTTTAAAATATATTTTATTATTTTTATGTTTTATTTTTATGTGTATGAGTGTATTGCCTGCATGTAGGTAAGTGCACCTGTGTCATGCAATGCCTGTGGAAGACGGAAGAGGCCCTCAGATCCCCTGGAACTGGAGTTGCAGACAGTTGTTAGCTGCCATGTGGGTGCTAGGATTTGAACCCAGGTCTTCTGCAAGAACCATCAGTGTTCTTAACTGCTGAGCCATCTCTCCAGCCCCATCAAATATATTTTAAAAACATTTTATTATTTTTATTATTTTATGTGTATGAGTATATTGCCTGCATGTATGCGAGTACTCCTGTGTTGTGCAATGCTGCGGAGGTCAGAAGAGGGCTTTGGGTTTCCTTGGAACTGGAGTTAAGGACGGTTCGTAGCCGCCATGTGGGTGCTGGGAATTGAACCCAGGTCCTCTGCAAGAGCAGTCAGTGCTCTTAACCGCTGAGCTATCTCTCCAGACCAGATCTATGCAAATGTTTTAAAGTTAATCATTTCCTCACAGCCTTTCCTTCTAGAGGAATTTCACTTTTAGAAAATTAAAATAATAACGATATAAGTTGCACAACTAAGCACCTATCATGCACCTCCATGGCTCAAGAAATAATAGCATTTGCTGCTATGCCTAACAACCTGAGTTCAATTTCCCAGACCCACATGGTGGAAGGCGAGAACTGACTCCCACAAAGTGTTCTCTGTCCACATGGCTGCTGTGGCACATATGCACACACAAACACACACACACACACATACACACAATAAATACATGTAATTAAAAATAAATAAATGGGCTGGGTGTGGCGGCACTTGGGTGGCAGATATAGGCAGAGTTCTGTGAGTTCCAGAAAAGCCTGGTCTACATAGCAAGTTCCAGGCCAGCCAGGGCTTACATAGTAAAACCCCTGTCTCAAACAAACATCTATCAGACACCTGGCACACGTGGCTTCTCGTGGCTGTTGGTGGCATGGGAAAAGCCGCTCCTTGACGCGACGCTTGTCCTCCTCTATCACCTTCCTTTTGTCACAGCCCCAGAGGTTGACAAGGTTCATGGTGTCACAAAGAAGTGCATCTTTCACCTCTCGATCTAGTCGGGAGTCTGTGGTGAAGCTTGGAGAGTGGTTTACCTGCCAAAATGAGTTGTTATGTCCCCTTTCCTAGACCACCTGAGCATGTGGTAGACTCTTGTAGGCTTAACTTTAGGGTTAGGGAGAAACATCTCCCTCCCGTGGCCTCAGCCAGCAAGGCTAGAGGCTCTGACTTCCAAGGTCATATATAGGAGTCTGCAAAGAAATCCATACAGTTTACAGGCTAGTGAGAGAAAACCAGGCAGTTTTGACTACAGACACAATGTCCTTAAGGGCAAGGTTTACTCCAGGAGCACTGGGAATCCCAAACCTAGATTAGTATATTGGTCTGTTTGTCTGCTTGCCTGATTTACCTAGGTTTCTAAGTCAGGATTTCAAATAGTCTAGGCTGGCCTCAAATTCACTATGTAGCTAAGGCTAGTTTTGAAATTCCAGTCCTCCTTCCTCCACTTCTTAAGTACTGAAATTACAAGCATGTGCCACCATGCCCAGTCTGGATTGTTATGGTAGAGGCTGAAGACCATTCTCACTAGGTCAAAAGGGTTTGGCTCTTGCCGACCCCGGTGCTTCTACCTCCCCATTCTCCTCATTCTACCACATGAGTGCATTCCTTGGCAGGGCCTTGCCAAGTCCAGGAGAGAAACCTTACCTCCAACAGCCAGGGCTTTAGCTTGTGGTCCAGTAAGATGTCAAAACCAAGGATCTCAAAGCAGGCACATGTACCTCCACTCAGATATTGGGGGAAGCAGGTTCGGTAGTTGTGGCGAAGAACAGAGTGGGCTGAGATGATGGTTTTGATGATGATGTCCTCAATGTCCCCCCACAGCTCTCGGGGGTCATTGCTGTGCTCTCGAAGCCAGGCATTGAGTGTCGACAGCTTCCTATGAGGCCCAGTGCTCAGAGGAAAACTATTTTCCCTGCCAGCAGGGCCTGGCTGCAGGGAGGAGGCTCCCTGATGTTAACCCCAATTCCATGCCAGGGCCCCTGGGCTTCAAAGGGCATCTGGGCGCAGGAATTAGTTATTAGTGTTATTATTGAGTCTGCACTTTGAGCTCAGACACAGGACCAGGGTCTTCAAAGACAGAGCTTCCTGGGAAATCAGCCCCCCAAGAGACAGCTGGGTTTCATGGGTTTCTGAGACTGTGGGACTAAAGGGCAGAGGAAGCAGGGAAATAACTGAGTAGGAGATACCTCTTACTGCCCACAGCATCATCATGGACAAAATTCTCATTGTGTTTGTTGATAGCATAGTTGGTCAGGTGCATACAGACATCCTCCTGTGAAATGAGGGGCCCTGTAGGCTCATAGTACCTCTGTGCAGCCTTCCTCTCCAGCCCTTTCTTTGCCTTCTCATTATCTACCCCTCTGCCCCAAGACTGTTCCTCTCTTGGCCCTCTTCACCTGAGACTGCCCTTCTGTATGATCCTAGGAAAGAGGGTATACTGGACAACTCCAGAAATAACCTTTCCTCAGTCTTACCCAGCAAGTACTTTCCCCATACCCACAGCCACATGTTACAGCTTTCACTGGCTTCCTTCCTTGGTCTGAGGTCTTAATGACAAACTTTTCTACCATGCTTGTCCCTAGAACCAAAGCACTCATGGCAATGGAAGAGAAGGGGGTTGCCAACCTGTCTCCTCACCAAGTTATTATGGCTGGGTTCCACATAGGGCATGGTGGCAAAACGGGCCAGGCCTTCCTCATACATGAAGATCCGGAGAGGGTCACAGGAAGTGATCAGGACATAGATTCGCATGTCAAACTTGAAGCCATCAATGAGGAAGGGCTAAGAGCATGCAAACCCAGAGGGAATAGTAATGACTAACAATGAACTTCTGAAGTCCTTATTACATGCAATATATGGTTGTGAGTGCTTCAAATATATAACTCATTGAATCCTCACAATAGCCATATAAAGAAGTTATTGTTATTAGTCTCAGTTGACAGTGAGAAAATGGAGGCAAGCAAAGGGTAAGCTAACTGTCCAAGATCACATATCTGGGAAGTAGAAAAGCTGAGATTCAGACTCAGGCTAGCTACCTTTAAACAATGACTAGATTCTGTCTCTAAGACACAGAGGACAGCAGAGCAAGTAGGAGCCTATAACTGGCTTCTACCTTGGTGTAGGAGAGACAAGCACCCCAGTGCAGGGAAGGGCCTGGGGGTCCCAAAGCAATCTTCACCTTGGTGATGTACTGCTGGCAGATCATATGCTCTCCTGGCTTGATCTCCTTGGGGGTTTGGGTGATGAAGATGCCACGCCCCTGACAGCCACTATCTGGCTTGCAGATATAAGTGCGGGTTTTCTGCTGACGACCATAAGCCTGAAAGTCCCCATAGCTATGGAGAGGGAGAGGGAGAGGGAGAGGGAGGGAGGGAAGGAGAGAGAGAGAGAGAATATGAGTGTGTAGCTATGTGCACATGCATGTGAAAGTCAGAAGTTGGAGAGGGAGAGGGAGAGGGAGAGGGAGAGAGATTTCTGTGTCCTGGGACCCTGGGGACATCTTCCTACTATCTATTCCACATTCTTCCTGAAGCACTCAGTCCCAAGTCCACTTTGCTTTGACCAGCTGAAACTTTCTTGGTTCACTTCCAACCTCTGGGACTGACCTAGATCATAACACTAGAGTCTGGAAGGAACTCAGAGGGTGGCCCTTTATTCTGCCTTCAGCCTCACTCACTCAGCAGGAAGGCACCAGGTACGTGGGAAGATGTTATACTCAGTAGGATAGAGCTTCTGCATGCGGTTGAGGTTCCAAGCCAGCAGATCTTTGCGGCAGATTTCTGTCATGCTAGGAAAGTGGTTGATTTTCTGAAATAGAGTCAGTTGGTTATACTGGCCCCTGCCCATAGTAAGTGCAGGTTCCTGGAACCTAGGCATCCCAGGAAGCCACAGAAAAGGACTAGGATGGTAAGGGAGAAGTTGAGGTAGAGGTCAGCACTGTATCTCATTGGCAAGGGTAAAAACAGAAGATTTCCTAAAGCAGGAGAGAAATCCCTCTATAGCCTCTACACAACACACAACCACACCAAGGCTCTGAAAGGAAGGTCACCTAGAAGAACAAAGACAAGCCAGGACCTTGTGCCTTTTAGCCACTTTCTCACATCTACCAGAATAATGATGCATACTGGGATATAGCTCAGTGGTAGAGCACTTAATCAGCATGCATGAGGTCCTAGGTTCAATTCCCAGCAACAACAACATTTATTTATTATTTTTATTTTATGTGTTATGAGTGTATTGCCTGCATGCATGTAAGTGCACTTGTGTCATGCAATGCCCTTGGAGGTCAAAAGAGGGCGTTGGATCCCCTGGAACTGGAGTTACAGATAAGTTACAACAACAAATTTTTTTTGGTCTTTTTGAGACAGGGTCTCCCTGTAGCCCCAGCTGGCCTGGAACTCACTATGCAGAGCAGGCTGGCCTTGAATTCACAGAGATCCAAATGTCTCTGCCTCCTGAGTGCTGGGATTAAAGGCATGTACCACCACGCCCAAAAACAAATTTTTTTTGTCTTTTTTTGAGACAGGGTCTCCCTGTAGACCCTGCTGTCCTGAAACTCACTATGTAGACCAGGCTGGCCTTGAACACACAGAGATCCGCCTGCCTTTGCCTCCCAAGTGCTGGGATTAAACGCTTGCACCACCACCCCTAGCTAAAAACAAAATTTTTAAACAAGAATGATACATTATAGCAAAAGAATAAGAAACAGTGTTTCACCAATGCCCTGGAAGCCCTCAGTAAAAGCTGTTAATTACTGTTATCCTCAACTGAAAACTGCTCCCTGAATGCCCATTCCTCAAAGCTTCTCACTAGTGCTCTTAGTGCTTGCTCTCCTAGATTCCTTATGACTAGTTGTGGGACAACTTACGGTGTCCTGGACTTCCTTCCTGGATCCCTCCAAATAAGCCTGAGAACTCTTTAATATTCATGCACTGAATGAGCACATTTCAGTTACAGACAGACTATATATCTGATGGTGGTCCTATAAAATTGTATTACCTAGTAACATCATAGCCATTTTTTTTTCAGTATAGTTATGATGGTCCCACAATGATAAAATCACCTACCAACCCATTCCTCACTAGTGTATCTTCCGCATTAAACCACACATACCTTCACCAGGCAGGGCCCCACTCTGTCTTTTTGTTGTTGTTGTTATTGTTGGTCCAGATTCTTGATAATATAGCCTCAAACTCATCATCCTTTTGCCCCAGCCTACTGAGTATTGGGATTATAGTCCTTTACCACCATGCCCAGCCCCATGCTCTTTTTTTGGTTTTTGTTTTTGAAGCTGAGTCTTATGTAGCTCAGGCTGGTCTTGAACTCCCAATCTTCTTGCTTCTACCTCCCAAGTGCTGGGATTACAGGCATGCATCACCATACCTGGCTCTCCCACACTATGTCTTGACCACCATGCCCAGCCCCATGCTGTCTCTTTTTTTTGTTTTTGTTTTTGAAACTGGGTCTTATGTAGCTCAGGCTGGTCTTGAACTCCCAATCTTCTTGCTTCTACCTCCCAAGTGCTGGGATTACAGGCATGCATCACCATACCTGGCTCTCCCACACTATGTCTTGGGGAATGTGCAATGCTAAGCTGCTTAGATGACTGGATCATTGGCCTTACTGTTA